CGCCAAGCTGGACATTCGGAAGTACTTCTTTTCAAACAGAGTGATCGAGGCCTGGAATGCTCTGCCTACAGATGTCGTCATGTCCACCTCCATCGAGGCCTTTAATCGCAAGTTGGACCAGTGTACCACCAAACGTCATAATGCCACCTGCCACGTCTAGGATTTCGTTCGAACAGTTTGTTAATGTTGATATATTACTGCTTGTATTGCAGTAATGTTTGTTTTTTATTATTGTCCCATGTCTGTTGAATGTGAGTGTTGGCATTTAATTCGTCTCCCTCAGAAACTGAGATAGCATCAACTATTCATAGACAGACTACTGTAGAGCACACTTAGTAACGTCAATGTTTTTAACTCTTGGAACAATTCGTTCATCTGTCTGGCTCGAAAACTTTGTCAATCTGAAGACACTCTGTAGCTGTTTGAGGTTTCCATTTCAAATTTTTGATAGAGTTAGCTTCCTTGTAGCAAATAGGGAGTTCAATGGTTCAACACCTATATTTCCCTCAAATAAACTGAACTGAACTGAACTAAATATACGTATTTGAGGTCATCAGCATAAATAAAAGACTAAGAATATTGAACTGCCCACAAGATATCATGAAAGTAAAGCAAAAAAGATGTCCTTAAACTATATTTTGGAGGAAAGCGCTTACAACACAGCTCTAAGTGACAAATGAGAATCTCAATAGAAGCATATGTTTTTAATTAAGTAGATATTATTTACTAAAGTCAGTAAGGAAACTGGGAGGTCTCAGCTCCTCCATTTTAACTAAAAGTCTTCGATGTGACACTTTATTGATGGCTTAATCTAGATGAAGATAAATAACGATCACGGATAGATGATCATTATGATGAAATGTAGATAGATTGAAAAACGGCATATGACCCGTTTCACAAGAGTGATCTGGTAAAAGTCCATGCTGGGAAGGGCTTATATCTTGATTGACTGTGCAAAGGTCAGTAATTTTCGCGGCAACGATTTTTTCAAAGTGATTAGTGGGAAGGAGAAGTAGGGAGAGAAAGAGAGAGCGCGAGCGCGAACGAGCAAGAGACCGTAGTAAGCTTCGAATCATACGCTGGTTCTGCCGAACCAAAACTTTCCAAATCAGAGGAAGAAAGTAGCCGGGATACCCGCGATGAAGTCTCTGCACGTATGAATAAACCACAAGACCCTCGAATTAATCGCAATAAATGCATTTTCATAAAGGGCATACCTGAGTCTCTTTACGACACCCCAAAAGACAGAATACATTATGACATAGAATTATTCCGTCAGTAGTTCAAATCGCTCTTAAGAGGAGATGAGAAAGTCGCCGCATTAAAGGCTTTCAGGAGGGTCCGAATAAAAGAACTCAGAAGATGAGACCGGCCGAGACCGCTAAAAATCGTCTGTCAAAATGAGGCAGAAGCGCAGGTGGTATTGAATAGGAAATCCGCATTCCAAAATGCCCGCCCAGCAGTTTTTTTCAGCGGGATTTTGCAACCGCGGCGAGGGAGAAATGGAGAAGGCCCACAGCGAAGGTGTTCAGAAGGTTCAGCCTGGGTGACCAAAATCTCCAAATACTGAACAGGAAAATTATATAGGTCCAGAGGTTATTTCTCTGGAGAAAGGCTATAACCCTAACAACAATCCATCTTGATCAGCTCCGGCCAACTTTTGCATTCAATCCCATGGAGTAGACAGAGGCCTGTATGCCGGAGTTTCTAAGGCCAAATTGCGATTTTTGTATACTAGCGCTCAAAGTCTCGCTCCGATAGTCGACGAACTCAAGGCGCTAGTTTTGGAACGAAACCCCTATGTCATTATAATAAGGGAAACATGGCTCAAAGTCAAATTGCAGACACCGAGATTTCGATGCAGGGTTTCCAGCTCCTTCGCGGAGACCGTCATAATAGGATGGGCGGTGGGATAGTCGTGCATGTAAGGACAGGAATTTCGGCAGCTGAACGAGCCCACACCCTCTCTTCTGAATATGATTCTGCCTGGGTTACGACGAAGAAGAGCACTGCACAAAACCTAGAATTCCTGACGGGTTACAGACCACTAAACCTCCAGATTGCAGTTGAGGATTCGCTCATTCATCTGGTCAAGGAAGAAGCGGGACACCAAGAAGTCCTTATTGCTGGAGACTTTGGAGCACCGGCAATAGAGTGAGAAAGTCTGGCACTAGACGGTGTTCCAACATCCTTCAGCCATAGACTAATGAACCTCACACTCGAACTACCCCTGGCATAGCATGCAATTACATTAACGACATTTAGAGGGAACCAGAGAACCAATTGCTTGGTGCGAGTTTTTACGAAAGACTTCTTTAACATTAACGAAGTGCCTTTCTGTGCATTCTCTCGGTACGAGTAAACATACCAGACTACTGTGGGATTACTCGCTCTGATATCAACACCGAAAGAGAACGGAAGTCAACCGAAATAAATGGAAGAACAAATCGATTCCCATGAATTGGGATTTTTTTGCTCAAGATGGATCCAAAAGACGAATGAAGATCGTTTTGGACAATTCCACTAGATCTAATTCTACGCTTTTGTCCAGAAAAGGTACGAGGAACGGATTCGTTGCCCTGCCTGGTTAAATAAAGGTCAGAGTTTACATTTAGGGAAGAAAAATGAAAAATGGAAGACCTTCAGCGAAACTGGGTCAGAAGTACACCACGAGGAGTTGTCTTCAACGAAATGAAGCCATAACTGAATCCGTCAGGCCTCCGTCATTTCTTCAGCAGACATTGCCGCTTTGCGTTCCGAATCTCCTTCGCGATCATCCGCGTACAGTAGGAAGAACATGGGCCCAAAAATGAACCCGAGGAACCCCACTCTTGACCACGGCAGTATCTGGTTTCTCCTGACTAATGCGCAAAAAGTCAAGAGCTCGGGTCTATCTCTGGAGAAATGGCAGACTGATTTGTCGTACACGATCTTCCTTCCGGCACCCCTATCGACAGTTCGAACGTAAGTTGCAGACTACTAGGAACTGCACTAATTTGCTCGTCATGGCCCTCTCCATAACTTTGCTGAGAATACATACAAAGCTCATGGGCCTGTTATTTGACGTCGAAGAACGGCTACGGCCTCTGCACAAAGGGGTTACATGCGCCAGCTTCAGATGAAAAAACGTGTCCCGATATCAGATGAGGTTTGAAAGAACACTGACAAAGTTACCGAGTGGTCACTGAGACGTTCTCCGACAAGCTTGGGTAGAATCTCGTCTGCTCCTGCAGACTTCGATTTCTTACTGCCAATCGTTTTCTTCCGATATGATCTTTTACAACGAGTACGTTTTTCATGTTTGGAGTCTGTAGGCCTTCTGCGGAAAGAGGAGGGAACCTTATCTCGTTTGTGTAGGCCGGCCGGAATAACTGAAAAAAGCAGCTATATCCCTGTTTTCAGCAAGCTCAGTGCCATCGGTAGTCTTTATTAACGGAATCTGATGTTTGTTGCTTACAGCTTTTCTGAATATGCTCTAGACTATTTTCGTATTCGGCGTTATCTTTAGTACGATTTTCGTCTGGAATTCTCGAAATGTTTTAAAAATCATGTTTCTCAGTTTCCTTAACTGCATTTGGTAATTTTCGAAATATTCGATCTACCTGGTGACGCATTTCTTTCTCAACTTTTTATGCCTCCCGTCAAGTCCTTTCTTTAAGTTGCTATCCAACCACCCAGACTGCTTCTCTTGCCTTCCAACCGTTAGTGGACAATGATTGCTGACGAGCTGCAAATGGACATTTTTGACAACCACCAGTCTTCGTTAGTATAACCCGCCAATGCTGAGCACCAGTAGAGGTCGAAAACATCTGTCCCCATCAGATTAAAGACACCTCGCCAAGTGTTTCGTATTTTTGGTATAGAGTGTACGCGGCGGATAATAACAGATAATCGCACACGAGCACTATGTAGTCACTTCGGCCGAGCAGGGGTCATCGAGATTATCTTTTATGAGTTGGCTTATGTTTTCGTAAAAACTAAATCAGGACAGTTAGCCCTTTACTGCTCACGTGTTCTGGTTGGGAATATCGTGTGTCGTGTGAGAATCGCCTCAATGTTTTTTGTGAAGCACACTAATCAAACGTCCATTTCAGGTTTAAACTTGGGCAATCCAAATAAGTGTATAGCGGGTAGAATGTCAAACACTTTACTTTACGCGATGTTCTTTGCCACATAATGTATCGGCCAACGCATGCCCGTCACTGTATTCCGTTGTCCAACACTGATCCCAATCCAAGTTTTTGTCAAGCTATATTCAGACCTCAGCAAAGCATAATATTAGTTCAGCACTAACTGCAAAGTAACGTTATTATTCGCATACTCGAGTAGTTTTCCGTCCGAGTGCGACTGCAAAAAATTATTCATGTTTAGTAGGCGGTCCGTATGGCTGTTCTGTCGTAGAGACCGACCCTGGGTTAACGTTCGTCGTCTTGAGGGGATCGGATAGAACAGGGGTTGGTTCCGGCTGGCCTGAATGATCGGTTATTGACCTCGGCATCACACGACAGATAGTATCTCAGACAAACAGGTATAACCTGAACAATTAAGGTAGTCGAGAATCTGAACTATGTATTTGAAATGGGTAGAGATGGACAGAGAAAGAAAAAAAGCGTCAGTGAGCCCATATAAATTGGGGAGCCAGAAGAAAGGGAAGAATACTCCTAGATTACGGTTGATCCAGAGGATTTTCTCTGAAGATATAATCTCGATTACTTTCCGGCTGATTTAAGGGGAGCGTAGGCCTGGAGGTTACTACAGGGGTTGGGATGTGGACTTCGTCAGTAGTTCCTGCAAGCACACAAGAAACGCAGCTACTCTCTGTTTCATAAAACACAACGGCCCAGTTTATTCCTGCCGTATCACACATGGGTATTCGGCAGGCATATAAGAAAACGCGTTAATTATTAACTTCATTTTGTTTTAACGGGCTCTCATCGCCAGCGGACTTTTAAAAGACCTTCCTCACGATTGTAATTGGTTGTCGGTGCGCCCCTTATTGGATGTCTGGCCAGGAAAAAAGTGAGGATATATTGGGTCAAAGAGCAGACAGATGCATCTCTGACCTAATAATAAAGACAGGTACCCTTTTAGCGTCTTGCATCCATATTCTCGTTCTAGGTGCCGGTATCTCAGTTGGCATTATCTTTTCAGTCCTCTTCGCTAAACGTAAGTTTTTTTTGAATTATTGCTGATGATGCGTCTGCAGGTCGTTCTTGGCCGGTCATTTTCGGAACTGGTTTTGGTCTCGGCATGGGACTATCGAACTGCAACAGCGAATTCAAGCAGCCATTCCCTCTGCAGTCTCACTACATTAGGGTGCAAAATAGACCAGAACTCCAAAGTGAATGAGCGAGGTCATTATTATGCAGGTTAAGCCAAATGTACCTTTGCTGCTAGTTCTTTTATAGAAATAATTTAACATCGGCTGTTTCAACTTCGTCTTGTAACACAGCTCATTGAGGTTCGTCCTCCATAGCTGTTTCTTGTGCTTTCTGCACATCAGTTATTAACGGGAAACTAGTCGGGCACACTTTTAATGGATTGGTGTAATATCGGTCGGAGTGGGTATACATGGCCTAGGCGACTTATTGAACCACCCGTCTTCGATCTCTGACCTCATAGCCACAAACCTATAAGCTTCCTCACTACACCTAAGTAAAGTTGGTTTCATGGATCTAGCGGAAAGCTAGAAAATAAGCTTAGGTTGTGGGCTAGGGACGGTGAAACGCCGACTCTGTTTGCCGTCCGCCGCCACAGTGATGTCCTCATTCCTCCCCTGAAGCCGTCGTCCAGGCGCACAGCTTTCACGTTATTTACTTCCCCAACTTCGCGCTGTTCACATCCGTGATATGCGTTGACATTTTTAACCTACTTCACGAAAGCCCTGGCCGGTGTGTTACACGCTGCGGCTGCCACACGAAATGTAGGAAACTGAAAAATCGCACTGAACTCCACTTTCCTACTTCGTCAACATCTAGTTTGCAGAAAACCTGCACATCCCACGGCTTACTTTTCCACAGTAAATTGCAACCGGAATAGCAGCTACTATGAAGGGCTTGACAACCGTTAATAGGATAGACTAGAGTTTTATTTTGACCTTTCGGAACATTGACAGGCCATTTATATGTATACGAACTATAGCGTCGTGTTCACTTTTTGGAATTGTACGTTTCTTTGAGGAATTTTTTGATTGGGTTCCCCACTCCTATCTGGACACTTTACCGCCACCGATACGTCCCACTTTAGAGCTGTTTGACGCCCATAAAAGTCTAAGAGGGTCGGTTGGCATGTCTGGAACACGAGGACTTCGTAGGTGCGTATGGACTAGATTCGATTGCGTGACCAATTCCTTCACCCTCTCCCCAACACAGGCTTGCGAGAAAATTAAGCTGTCTTGCCTGTCCTCGCATTGATCAGACGATGTAAGACCATCTTGTTGGTCGTCATCGGACGACGACGATCATCAACCAGCCAAACACTAGCTTATTCGCTAATCCCAAATCCGCTGTGGGCTTCGTCGGTACATTCGCGGCATATTTCCTCTAAGCTGGCGCTGTATGCCTCTCTAGTATCCACTTCGGTACCTGCTTAAACATGGTATAATGTTAACAGAGCAGAAAAGGAAATACGTGACAGGTGCAGAACCGCATGCGCGCACGCCACAATATAGCAAAGCGCAATGGTGTCATCCACGCACACGAGCACGAGGCAAAACAAGACTTTGCCAACCAATGAGGACAAAAGTGCGAAAAGCGGCCGACCAGTGCACCGATGTCTATCTTTCTTGATATGAGTGCACCGGCTTAATATCGACTGCTTTTAGGGATACGAGACTAATCGGTACTTAGTTTCGAAATTGATTAAGTTCGAATTCCGAACTCGACGAAAGTAGCCATTCCGACTTTGTCGTGAGTTCAACAACCTGACATGTTGCGAGTGAACTGAGCCAGTTTTGCCATCAGGGCGGTCACCAGTGCAGTTATTTCTCTAGGTTAGCCTGCGTATCACGGAGTCCTTTTCTAGATGTGGAAATGACTATATTGAAACAGTAAATCATGCCCTCTTGACAAACGACAAGAGAAAGTCGTCACAGTCCTGACAAAGGACGACCTGTGGGATAGGGATCTGTCCACCATTGCAGATGCTGACTGCCTGGTAGTCACAGAACATGCAGCGACCTTACCCATAGGTTTTCCCGAGTACCGATGAGGCAAAGCGGCTGACTCGAAAAAGGTCACAAGACAGAACGGTACTACAGAAAGACAATTATTGGTCAACCGTCGTCAAATCACCAATGTAGGCTTCGATTACAGGCTCAATCGGGCCTGGGAGGCCGTGATTGCATAATCCCCCTGCTAAATCCCCTCGACTTTACACCATACTCCAAGGCATGACGGACGCAATTTGTGTTACGACGCACAAGTGGAAGCCGAATGTGCTGCCTTGTAGATATAAATTAGTGGCATGGGAGACTGCTTCGCGTTTTGTTATAAGCCTAATTTGCGTCGGGTTGGAGCACTGGTGCTTATTCCTTCTCAGAAAAGGACAACTCCGGATGTCCTAACTATGGAGCAATAATACATGTTGCAGTGTCTTCTCTGGGATGCTTTTGAGCCACTTACAGGTCGGATAAAAGCAAATTCCCGTCTTTACAGCGTACGTGTCGATTAATTATTCACTCAGCAATGGGTCACAGAAGAACCTTGTTTGCAAAGGGAGACGGCTGTCTTCCCCCTTTACTTTGCTATGGCGGTTGGTTGAGCCCACGGAAATATTCACCAAGAGGCCTTGAAGTCCACGGTGCTTCTAAAAACTCAAAAACTTAGCCAACACATGCTAAGAAATTATTCAGACAGATGTTTATGTGCACAGTAGAAAGACTGAGTACTTTGCTGTCAAGATGGGCTCCAGACGACGCTGGACAGCACTCCTGACCGCCGACTACTTCGATAGTATTACTCCACTTCAAATTTTGTTCGGAAGGACTCGATCTTTTGGTCGTCGCCTCCAAACATTGCGCTTAGAGCTGAAGGTTGTAAATATCATGGTGCCCCTCGACCTGTGTAAGATTGAGACGTTTGGCAGTTGGTACCCCTGGAAAATATAACACTCCCGGATGTTGAATAATGTGCCGAACAGGGAACTCCAATATCGATTAAGGAGAACTGCGCTGTTGATTCACTGGAAGGTATCATCTGAAATGATGCGGACAGGCGTCCGGTCAACGTGAAAAAGAACCGTCCGCGAGCTCACCTCTCTGAACTAGTGTCTTCCCCGTAATGGGTGACAGTTAAAAGTGGGCAGGCGTTTATCAGAACTGTAGTGGTTGTTATGTTTTTCCATGACCGGGTTCACAGGCGGCTAACGATTGCTGAGTGTATCCTTTGCCCGCAGTGCAATATTCATACCGGTCCACGTTTTCATCTACTCCGTAGCCGGATCAGACTGTCATGGGATAGCGGAAACAGGTAAGAGTCACTGAGAAGTGTGTGTTTTCTGAGTTGGAAGATGCCGCTCATCTTTCAGGTCGTAGGACTTTGTCATCGGATTTTCTAACCCTGGTAAAAGGGATTTTGGGAAGGAAAAGCCTTTACTGCACTGTGTTCCAAGGGCGCACCTACGTATGATGCGGTTCTAATTCTAATATTCGCTCCAAGATACGAGTACATTTGTATGTAGCCTATGTTACCACTTACGGCCAACAGCTTAATGGCGGTGCCTGTTAGCCTTCTACCTAGTTCTGGATTTTTTTAAAATGGTCTGATGATTTTGCCCCAGTTTTGCATTGAAAACTTGCGCGGATGACTGACATGTGTTACATCTGCAAATGATCAACCTACGTGGAAGGCCACGGCTCCTCTCCCTTGACTCATGTTTAGACTTTTATAGTTACCTTTCCTCTAGTGGACGCAATTATCTAGGCTGAACCGTAACGATGAAATGATGGTCACCCAACCCGCACCTTTATAAACTGCGGTCAAAGTTTGTGGGTCACAGAAGGCGCACTGTCTATTGAGTGATTTTGAGAAAGCGGCGTCAGTTAAGTCTTCAGTGGTAGTCTGCCGCCGTGGTGACTTAGTTTTCACTTTCAGATACACAGTCCTCAACTATGGCATGCCGTCGGTCCTCCCAAACTTCGGCCGTTTCGACCGTGCTCATTAAAAACGGTTGTATGATTTGGTAAATAGGCTATGAGACCTTTTGCGGCACAGCTACCCTGCATGCAGAACCACACAACAACTATGAAAACCCTGCCGGTGCTTATGGAAATCTTCGCGTGGGAAAGATCGCATACCTAGACGAATAGGCACCACCTACTTGGCATGCTCAGTTTGCCGAGGCGGTATTGTGATAGGCAAGGCACGTAGCGCTTCCTGTAGGTCGCCCGCCTTTAGTCCTTCATTGTAGCCTGCGCAATCCTTCTGTGTCCCGCCCATACCCGAACTTAGAGTTACAGAGAAACTTTAATGGATTTGCCAATGCTAACAAGGGCAAGGTCGGGGTTGTTGAATGGATAACAGAGGAGTAATGCTTAATTCTCGCGAGCTTTTGAAGTGTGTGTGTCACAAGTCACGTTTCAGCCCTTGGTATAAATACAAAGCAAGACGGAGCTTAGCAGTGTGCTTGAAGAAGTGACCATCACTTCGAGTCAACTCCTCGGGGATATTATTTCGTTTGACTGATTGCCGCGCCAACGTAAATAGATTTTAATACAAGGTGTCGGCCTACCGAAAGCTCGGGCCCGTTAGGATAATAGGAAATAATTCAAAAAACGCTTAGTGCTATACAATCCAAGGCTTGACATCTCCCGACAACCCGTATCAGCAACGCGGTGTCATTTCGAACTTGATGGAAAACCTTCGTAGGTTGCCTCCCCAACTTGTTTTGACGGGTCATATATCCCACCCTTCTAATAACGCTTCCGGCACAACGTGCAGCCACGAAAGACAGCCCGGGCTTTATTAATTAGCATGGGGGCTACCAGCTGGAGGACGAGTTTGAAAAAATTCTTTTTTATCATCAGTCGCACCCGCGCCGAAAAAACTGCCATGGTGGATAGTTGCGTTAACAATGGAGGCGGTAACTTCGAGGACATTAAGTAAACTTTGTTTTCAAAAATACAAAATACCTTATTTATGTACAAAGTGCATCTGTAGTTCACGAAAGACGGGCAACCAGCAGATTCCTATTTTGATAATGACATTGCCGGGTCATTCCAAAACTGAATGGTGTACGGGCTGCTCATAGGCTTGAAATAGTCAGAAGGGCAACGAGACACGAAACTACAGCAGTCAATATGTCTGGGAATATCCTCCTCCATACCTAAACAGGAGATCAGACTAAGATGAGATGGTGGAAACTAACCAATGACGTAGGTTGTGGGATCAAAAGTAGTTCCGCAGGCCTCTGTTGTTGGCACAAGCCAAGTAAGGACGACATATACGTCTTCTGAACGATCTATCAAAATGCCTGGAGTAAATAAGAGATAGGCGATCAGAAAATTGACAAACAACCTCTTAACTGTGCGTAGTACGTACCACCTTCCACATCATCAAGGGATACTATGTCCCCCACGTGTAACCACAAGCCCTAGACGAACCGAAAAGAGGTCAGCAGAAGTAATTCACGAAAACTTACCTTATGGAAAGTGCGCGTCTCGAGTCGTATAAAAGCAGTAGGTGCGGAAAGCGGTTTCGGCTAAAAGACACTACAAAATACGGGATGGAGGACTTACGTCGCGTTTAAGAATTTGTCTACGCGAATGACTTTTGGAATAAGAGTAACGCGCTGATCCGTGCATGCCAAGGGCCTTTACTTTGCTAGTTAACTGACGTGGACGCAGGGCTTTTTGAAAATTGGTAGCCGTGTCTACATCAGGTCGATTCGTTCGTTTCCGACGGAATGAGCGCAGCGCAGACGCAACCGACCCGCATTGTGCGTTTTCTTTATGTTTAAGTTGATAGATGGGTATTTTCAAAAAAAGTGGGATTTAAAATACGAAGCAAGGGTCAGGTACCGCATATTTCGGCGGCGGTAATAGCACAAAAGTCGCAATAAGAATGGCTAGCTGATAAACCTCTCCCATCTATATAGCATATATGCCTTGGTACGTTTGCCTATACACGCTTTAAGACGCTGCCGAACTGATACAAAATTCGTTTTCCAGGTCACCTATTTGAAGGCTCGAGTTTTTGAAAATGCTGTCTTCCGAGTAATTTCCTTCTATTAAGATGCGGCAGTCCGAAGGTTTTAAAGGCGCTTATTAAGACGGCTTGGTAAGTATGCATGTATTCCTTGTGGAGAATAGTATGAACGTTAAATACAAATTCAGGCAAGACGCAGGATTTGGACCGGGGCCACAGTCACAATAACTCCCTGGTACACTGACATCGGTTTAAGTCGATATAATTATTGCGAGCCAACAAATTATTGCGCTGAAGCAGCACTGCGATAAAAGGCATAGGCGGAAGTGAAGATGCGGCATTAGTAATGGCTTTCAAGGAACTGTGGGGGGGGGGGGGAATTTGTTCGGAAAGTGAACGTTCACAAAAAACGGAATGATTAGACTGAAAACTAATTCCTTTACTCAAAGTGGAGGGAGGCCGAACTAAGGTAGGAAAACATATATTTTCCCGCGTCGATCCCTGCGCCTGATAGCAGCCTAGGGAGTAGACGCCAACAATGTGGCTTGAAGGCGCTGTGTGTAAAATTGGGAAAAAACCCAGAGCTGTATTGAGGCCAAAGAAAATTTTGATTAGAATTACCTTCTGTCGGCTTTGGAGACGTATCAGAGCTCATCTAGGAGACCAGCGCGAAGCGCGGGATCAAGACACTCTAAACAGGAGAAACGGTTCTCCGGCAGATTTACAACCATAAAACCAAGGACAAGGGTGTGCAGTAGCGTGATATAATAAACCTGTCGGCTATATATACACTCGTAAGAACTGCAAGATAAGGACTTACTGACGTGCCTTAGATTCCAAATGACTGATTTTTCTGCCTTCTAAATACTGCTTGTGCAGTAGGCAGGCCGCGGCTGACAGGGCAACCACATTTCCAGCCAAAGAGGTTTTGCTTGTCCAGGATTGTGAACATCAATGTGTATTTGAGCTCCGCTTAGAAACGAATCTGCCTGTAAAAGAAGAGGCTATATCTTGAATTAAGTGTTAAATTAGAGGGGGTTTTACTTGTCGACATCTTGCTGCTCATTACGGAGATAAGTGATTAGATTAAGAAATGTCAAGCGGCAAGTTTCGGAGGATCGTTTAAGCGAAAATACATGCCTCGAAGGGAGGCTTATGTACAACCAACGCCTTAACCATCTGAGTTAGTTTACTCTCAAGGAGACACCTCGTTGCATCTACACTGTCTTTCAAAATATTCTTTAGTTTTACTTGTCGAAAGAATATGTGAGAGCACACATATAAATGCGACGTGTTTGTTTAGTCTAAGTGGCAACTTAGGCTTCAATTTCCATACTGCTTCTTTGCAATTGAGAACGGAATCAAGAGAAATGGACGCCAGTCATTCGCCTAGTTTCTTGTTAAACTTATATAATGACTGACGCATTCACTGAATAAATATTGTTAGCAGTTTTTAGTAGCTTGAGGTCCTGAGAATATTCTTAAACCGAATGAGACGCGTTAATACACCTATAAGCAACTAATTATTCTGCTTGTACATCCATATCAATGAAGTTACTAAGACATTCTGAGCATTCGTATGAGCATGGAGGTCGATAAACATTATACGAGTCAGGAGTCGACAGTCGCCTGGTTTTACTCGAACACGAGATGATTGTAAAATTCTGTAGTATTGCTCTAGGTTCTGCAGCTGATAACAGGAAAAATGTTTGGAAATATGCATTTTAAAGCCTTCGCGCTCACGCCGTGGCTCGTCACAAGTGCTCGTTTGCCGACTCCCAATGCTGTATTTCGCCGATCAATTAGATTTATTTCCGTGCAGATACGTGAAGTCTTTTGGATGCTTCTGATTACTTTTCGCGAATTTTGACAAAAATAACCTATTATTCGCGCATTAGATTTCTAAACAGCGGCTACTAGTGTTTTAGTGATCTCAATCCTAATCAACTGCTTAAGTCAGTTTAAGTCAGTTTATTAAGGGAATGAGGCTTTCGCCCTTGAGCTCCCTATTCATATCGATAAACAGAAATAAAGTCATCAGTGACATCAGCAAATGCGAAAAGTTAAGAAGTTAGCGGTAAGTGTGAGCTAGGCGCAAACTGCCGCCGCTTAAACAATCATTATTGTATGTACAGTAGGTTCTCAACAAGTGAGCGTCTAGTCTGCACTTGAAGGATTTGACACATTCGGAAAGAACGACGGCGTCAGGGAGTCCATTCCATGCCCCGAAGACCCTGTGAGATAAGGCGTTCCGTCGGACGTCCGAATGAGCCCGCTTCCTTTGCAGTTTGAACGGTCGCCAGGCCTGGACTGCATACTCTAAGTGAGACCGGACGAATGCCCCATAGGTTTTTCCGAAGAGCTCCTTGTCGATCTGCACAAATCCTCGCCTAAGCGCAAATAACACCCTTATCGCACTTTTGGCTGCCCTTTGACACTGCGAAGATGGTTTCAGAGAGGAGGTCATTAGGACGCCCAGGTCTTTCTGTTCCACAACAGTTGAAAGGGGCTGACCATCAAGGACATATTGAAAGGAATCGTCCTCCTTACTGGTCTGTCTGGTGCGGAGTCTCAGGACCACACATTTGTCCACATTAAAATTGAGGAGCCAGCGAGCTGACCAACTGTTTAGGCGGTTGAGACTGTCTTGAAGCGCGTACCTGTCTGCATCAGATCTGATGTTCTTACGAGTTCGGTGAAAACCTGTCGATATGAGTCTTTTTAGATTCTGTATAATCCAGTTATTCAGTATAGTTCTGTATATATGAGGGATGTAGGCAGAGTTTTTGAAAACCCTGTTTGTAGACAGACGTACAAAAAGCATGCACATATTTACATAACAGTTACGTCAGTCATTGGTATCGAGTAACTGTTTGACCATCGAGTATAAATTTATCTAGTCATTTTTGAATATCGATCTAACGTTTTCTGGCAAGACAACGGGGTTCGGAAATTTGTTTCATGCTTCAACCAGCCGGTGGGAGAAGAATTTGGCTCGCAAATCAAGTGTTGCATATTTTCTTTTCGATGTGTATTTGCATTCGATATTTGATATGGTATTCGTTAACGCCGAACTTGTTTACGGTTTCAGTGTTGTCCACCAAACCGATAGTTAATGCACACCACCAGTCACGTCACTCCTCAGCGCTAACTTTTCCTACTTTAATTAACATTAAAATATCTCCGGCGGTGAATCGTACATCCATTCAGTAGGGGTCAAGCATTGGCAGTGATAGTTATCTATTTTGATCTTAGCACAGACTTCGTCAAAGATTTCCATAGACGTCTTTTGGTAAAATTGAAAGCTCTTGGCATCCGGCCTCCTCCACTCGACTCCATCGGGTTCTATCTATCTAACCGATATCAGAAAGTTATGGTCGGTAATAGCTACTTGACACCCCAGTTGATGAAGAGTGTCCTACATCAAGGCAGGTTTATGGGTACGCCACTCTTCCTGCTTTACACAGATGATATTCCGACTGAAGTTATAAATCAGCAAACTTCTATTTATGCCGTTAACCTCAAGTGTGTTTACTCATATTCGAAGGAAATCACAAGCGTTTGTGTTGAAGAAATAAATGCCGATTTACTACGCTTAAGCAGTTGGAGTTCAACATAGTAGATGGAGTTTTCATCATCCAAGTGTAGTTTCACGTCTTTTGGTGCTGCCAAAATTCCGAGTCCCATAATTTTTTAGAGTAACCCACTATCAGAATGCTTGACCATAAACCTAGGTTTAAGTTATACAAATAAATTTGCTTTATCACCTCATGAAGATAGGAACTCCGCCGAAGCCGCGCAGATATGTGGATACATATGGCGTAATTTTTTCCTCCCGGGAATGAGGCTAAGACTTTATCAAATATTTGTTCTTCCACTCCTCGAATACTGCTGTCCTTTCTCTGGTTTAATGAACTCCTATGACCGGTATAAAATCAAAAAATGTTCAGGGGACTATCACCCGGAAACTATTCTCTCAAGTTGCTCCCGGTCATTCCTATATTCAGAGATGTCAGTTGGCGAACATTAAGTTTTTGTGGGTTAAAAGACTCGAAGCTGGCCTTTGCTTCCTTTTTGTATCAACTCTAGCTCCACTCTTCTGCTCATCGACACTCACACTCCCAGAGATCGGTCTTATGCCACGCACAACTCCTCCATGGTGATTCCGCCACCGCCTCTTTGAATTACGTCATAACGCTCTCTCTTTTTTGCCTCTAAATATGCCTTCCTTTGGAATAATCTCCCGCCTGAAATTATGTCCTCGCCTAAGTTATCGGTATTCAAATCGAAATTACGCAAACACCTTACCCCGAAGAGTATAAAGGCACTTTTAACGGTCCCATTCCCGAACGCTCACATTCTTGACTTTAAGAAGGCCCCTCCTGGGATTTAGTGGGATATTTAGTGGTAGATCAAGCAGAAACCCCATTTATATCTTAACAACCTCCTGTTTTGAATTGGTTACTAAGTCCACTGCTATTACTCCTCCCCCATAGCGACAATTTTCGCGGTTTTTAATGTCCTATTCCTCATTTCGACCTCAAGCGGCCTGTCGACGCTCATGGCGGAACCCTCTGTATTCGCCGTCTACTAGTAGTTTGTTTTTACCTCCCTTGTCCATTCCCCGGTGGAGCTCGAAGCGGACGGTGACCGATCGCGTCTGCGTTCCTCTCGTCTCGCCACTTTGACGTGAATAGTCTCATCTAGCATATGAATTCCGCCCTGACGATGTCCGTTCTGAATCCCTTATACAATACCACATGCAGGCCAGTCCTGTCTGACCCGCATACGTACCCCTCATGGCTGAAATCTATTTCTGCTCTGACGATTTTCGATTATAATCCGTTATATATCGCTACATGCAGGCCAATCCTGCCCACATTTTCTCAGACTATGAGCGACATTTTTTTACTGCAAAGTTATGCCAATCATTTTTTAAATTTTTAAGTGGATTTTTTTTCACCGCTCGCTCATCAGTTTTCTTCACGGACTTATAATTCGGAAACTATAAATTGCATTTTGTATAGATTCTGCCTACCACATCTAAAATTCATATGAAAATTTAGTTTTACCTGCTTTGATGGACCCCAATGGGTATTTAACAAAAAATATTTTATTTATTTAATCCCACCGATTCACCGAGTTCTTCACAGGCGGGTCCAAGTGAATTATTTGAAATCTGCCATAAGACGTATGAACTAGGTTAGTTGACTACTCCCGTGCTTCAATCTCCGGTAGTGTCTTCAGAGACTCCCTGAACACCGGGGTGCAGCCCACTGTCCTAGAAAATTGAAACAACTTTGCTCCTGACCTCTGTAATTATGTGAGACGAAAAGTGGATTATAAAATGGAAAGTCATCTGAAAAAATAGTTGGTTATTCGAAATCTCATACTATTTGCGACATGATAAACGACGCAAGTTGATATGGGTTGCTGTAACTTCGGTTCATCGCCTGCAGTCCCTAGAGGCCTCTACCTGTGCAAAGTAGCTTAACAATAGTACCTATTATGAATGCCAGTTCACAGGCAGTAGCAAAATAACATTGCAAACTGGATCGCTGAAGCATTGAAAAACGCCTTTACAGTCAGTTGGTCTTCGGGTAATTGGGATTATTTAGGAAAAACGTGCAATTTGTGAAATGGCCGCAGTCCAGA